TCTTTCTTTCTTTCTTTCTTTCTTTCTTTCTTTCTTTCTTTCTTTCTTTCTTCCTTCCTTCCTTCCTTCCTTCCTTCCTTCCTTTCTTTCTTTTTTTGAACTTAGTACAATTTTATTTTAAATTTCAAAATTATTTAGATGTTTGAGTCATGAAAATTGAAAGTATATGATTTAATATAGGTACTTCAGACTTTAAAAACATTTTGTAATAATATGTATTTTCAAGCCATTTTCACTAGTTTTACAAGACAAGAAAAATCTAAGTTCAAAAAGGTGTACAAAGAAAAATATAATTAATAATTTTAAATGTTCTATTTTCTAATTTTGGTTCTTAAGACAGATTATTTATTCACATAATGTTCAAACTTCATATCTAACACAGCAAACAGGTTTAAATTTAACATTCTCTTCTGGTAATCGTCTGTTCCCTATGACACAGTTCTGAGAAGGATCATCATTTAAGGAACTTCTGGGTCAGAATCACAGCCACAGCACTGGCTTATGCAGATGCTCCACACGGGCGTCCCATGCATAGGGACAACAGTCAGCACAGCCACCATGCAGCGCCAGTACTGTTGTGGACACTGCGTCTCTGGGGTTGACTTACTTTGAGGACACATACATGATGCTATATGATTTCTTACAAGCTCCTTTTTCCAATTTGCTTGTAGTTTCTTTCGTTTCCTTCACTTTTGTTGGAAGTCTTGATTCCTTCCGCAGTTAACCTGGGAGAACTTGGGGTGTTCCCACTCTGTTCATGTAAGGCCTCAGTGTTGGCTGGACTATCCAAAAGCTTCACACACTTCTCCTTCTTCGGCTGTGTATCCAGATGCAGGCTCTTGAGAGAGGCTGGCTGGCTGTGCGCATGAAGAGGATGGCAGTTTCCACTGCACAGCATTATCTTTTAAGTTATTAAGACAGGACTCCTTCTCCCTCTGAAGTGGGAGTCTAGAAACTTCTTCCCCAGTGGCACTGGCAGCAGCTGTTTCTTCTGGGGTGGTTATATTAAATGCAGCACCTCACGCCTCTTTTTGAGTACAGGACTATACAGAGAAACCCTGTCTCGAAAAAAACAAAAAAACAAAACAAAAAAAAGAAAGAAAAGAAAATCAGGATCTTTAGGTACAGCTGGGTCACGCACTGCAGCAGGCGGTGGATCCTAACAGCAAAGGAAACTCTGTTCGCAGAGGTGGAGGAAGATTGAAGGGTGGCAATGGAACGCTGGCTCAACTTGATGAAAGACAAATATCAGTCACTGAAGAAGCAAGATGCATTCACCAGAAATCAGATGAACAAGATGAAGTTACAAATCTTCACATTGCTCAGGATGAGGGGATCACAAACTGAATTTGAGCAGCAGGAACGGTTGCTTGCCATGGTAGAACAGAAGAATGGTGAAATAAAACACCTTTTAGGGGAAGTTAATAAACTGGAGAAATTTAAGAACTTATATGGAAGTATGGAATCTAAACCTTCCACATCAGACAACACTTGTACTCTAGAAGACAGCAGCTATTACGCAGACTTACTTCAGCTGAAGCGTGATAAACTAAACAAAGAAAATGAAAGCATAAAGGGTGAACTGTCCATCCAGAGGATGAAGGCGTTATTTGAGAGCCAGCTGGCCCTGGGATATTGAGCATAAACTCTTAGCAAACAAAAGACACCTGCAGCTCACAGAAAGTGAGAACATGAAGCTGAGAGCTAAGGTGGATGAGCTGAAGCTCAAGTACGAGCGCCAAGAAAAAACTGAAGTACCTGTACTCAAAGAGAGGCGTGAGGTGCTGCATTTAATATACCCACCCCAGAAGAAACAGCTGCTGCCAGTGCCACCGGGGAAGAAGTTTCTAGACTCCCACTTCAGAGGGAGAAGGAGTCCTGTCTTAATAACTTAAAAGATAAGGCTGTGCAGGAGGAGGAGGAAGAGGAGGAGGAACAAGAAGAGGAAAAGAGGAAAGGAGGTAGAGGGGGCAGAGGAAGGAAGAAGAGGAAGAGAGGAGGACTTTTCCATTTTCCTAGGTTTTTGAATTGAACATCAAATCTAGGGCTGATCACTCCACCCTCGTTTAACCTGCCTGTATCGTTCACAATGATTTCCCCAGCTCTGTGATCATCATTGATCTCAGATTCACCAGTGTAACCATGCTTCATCCTCACAGTCAGGAGCTGAATGATGACTTTGGAACACTGGTGTTTGCCTCTCTTCTCAGCATTGTTGATGCTCTTGAGAGCATCTGCCAGGACACTCATGTGCACCATGGTGACGGCACGGCAAGATGGCAGAAAAATTGATTTTGCTTTTGATTGCCACTGTGCCCTGATATTTTTCCCTCTTGAAGTAAGAGACTATTGTAATGGAGCTTGCAGTTAAGAGAATTTTTGAATTTAAAGAAGACTTTGAATTTTAAAAGATGTTGGATATTTTAAAGGTATTGAAATTTTAACATGGGACTTTTAAAGTTATTTAGATCTTGGGGATGAATAAGAAAGTAAGAGTTGAGGCTTAATAGTGATGTTTGTGTGTCAAGTTGACAAGGGGTCAATTGTACTGGCTGGTTTGTGTGTCAACTTGATACAAGCTGGAGTTATCACAGAGAAAGGAGCCTCCCTTGAGGAAATGCCTCCATGAGATCCAGCCGTAAGGCATTTTCTCAATTAGTGATCAAGGGTGGGAGGTGCCACCCCTGGGTGGGTAGTCCTGTGTTCTATAAGAAAGCAAGGTGAACAAGCTAGGGAAGCAAGCCAGTAAGTAACATCCCTCCATGGCCACTGCATCAGCTCCTGCTTCCTGACCTACTTGAGTTCCAGTCCTGACTTCCTTTGGTGATGAACAGCAACGTGGAAGTGTAAGCTGAATAAACCCTTTCCTCCCAACTTGCTTCTTGGTCATGATGTTTGTGCAGGAATAGAAACCCTGACTAAGACATACGACGAGTAAATGATGTTTCTATTTGCTGTTCAAAATGCCTCTTGTCTCTGGACTGACATCTCTTTTCCTAGCTCTGGGAATTTTATATTTAGATTCTTTAAAAAATACTGTTTATTCATTTAGAACAAGATCTTTCTTTTTTATGCCTATAACCTGTAGATTTGGCTCTGTAAGAGTGTCCTGGATACTCTTAGTATTTCCACTGCTCCCTTCTTGCCCGTCTATACTTGTCCTTGTTTGTTTGCTCCAGCTTGTTCACCTTCTCTTCAAGCTTGGGCGGTCTCTCCTCTTGACACAGTCTCCTGGTGAAACACCCCACAGAGATTTTTATTTGACTTATTGGGGCTTTTTTAGACTTCTTTCTCTTTGATATTTGTATATCTTTTTGAATTGCTCTCCCATTTCTGGAATTGTCTTCCTTACTTCATTCAGCAGTTTATTTCTCCATCAGCAGCTTTGTTTCCTCTTTAATTCTTTGAATATACTTGTACTCATTCTTTTGAGTTCTCTGTCTGGGGTGTCATTTAACTCACTCTCTACATGCCATTACTGTAGCATCAGTAAGTTTTGGAGGAGTTCTGTTTTCTTGTCTTTTTTATTACTTAGATTACTGCATTGGGACTTATACATCTAGTGTTTTATTTTTTAAATTTTATTTATATGAGTACACTGTAACTATCTTCAGACATAACAGAAGAGAGGACATCAGATCCCGTTACAGATGGTTGTGAGCCACCATGTGGTTGCTGGAATTGAACTCGGAACCTCTGGAATGGCAGTCGATGCTCTAAACCACTGAGCCGTCTCTCTAGGCCTCTAGTGTTATTTCTTTCCTCAGGATTTTATAAATCAGTTGTGTCTGCTATGTTGAAGTGGAATTGGTGATGTGGCGTTCAGGTGTGTAGTTCAGAACATAGTCCCTTAGTCTCAAAGTTCTGGTGCCTGATGTGGACTCTTCATTATTTCCTGAGTAGAATATTAACAACTTTCAGAACAGCTGTGATTGCTAGATGTTACCTTTATGTAAATATTGTACTAGCCAATGAAAAGCAGTGGCCTCTGACTTCAATAGCGATCAGAAGATAAATAACTAACATATTATGGAATATTCAGGATGAGGGCTAGATGGGCAAAGATTGTAGCCAGGGACTACAGACTGTGTTTCTGAATAAAAAATACAGAAAAAGGGTTAGAGAGAGAATTCAAGTATATACCTTTAAATACATGGGTATAGTATGTTTATACATGTGGTAGCCAGGTTCATCTAATACTGTTTATGTGTATGGGTAAATAAATTTCTGATTAGTATGTATGACCTTTTACCTTTCATTCCCACTAGCTAAAAGAAGGAATTAAAACAAAAACAAAAGAGCCCCATAATTTGGCCATTTTAAACTTGGGAGACTGGCAAATATCTTCTATTGTGGCTTCACTCTGCCACCTAGTGGGCAGGAAGAGAAAAATCAGACCAGAGCAAATTAATTTGTCATTGCATTGTCATTGTCATTTACCAAGTGCTTTCTGATTAGTGCGGTTACACCTTTACCAAGCCTACTCATGAGATGACTAGCTGACGTTTCCAAAGAAAACATCAATTCAATATTCTAAACCCCAGGCTCCCAAACCATGTTTTCCAAAAGGCTTGTCCATTAGAGCTACAAAGCATAAAGACTGTAGAGTGAGACCCTCTCAAGTTCTCACCCCCTGAACTCTCCTGCCGCGTCCTCTCCTCAATCCTCCTGCTGCCCCTCTCCCCCAAGGAAGAGTTTATTCACTTCTAAGTTTGAAGCTGTAGTCCATCGCTGTGAGGAGGTCATGGTGGCCAGAGTGTCAGGCAGCTGGTCAGATTGCATCCACAGTCAGGAAAAGGGGACAGAGGGGACGATCTAGTGTGCCTCTTCCCTGAACTACTCACATTTATAGCAGCACCTAGACTAGAAATGGCCTGAGGACCTCGAGGTCATGTCTTCCCCAACACGCTGAGCAACATCATAAAAACTGTTCCACTTACAAATTACAAATCCGAGCTGGAGCGATGGCTCAGTGGTTAAGAGCACTGGCTGCGAGTAGCGTTGGGGCTGGCGCGCGCGACGAATCTTAACGCTGCGCTGTCTGCAGGCGCTTCCGGGCCACCAGATTCCCTGCCTTCCACCCTGGCGCCCCCCAGCCCTGGCTCTCCGGCCGCTCTGCCCCGGGCATCCACGCCCTGCGGGCTCAGCGGATTCAGCGGGCTCAATATACGCAGCACCTCCTCCATGTTGACCAAGCCTCTGCAGGGGCTTCCTTCGCCCCCTGTGACCCCCACGCAGCCTCCAGGAGGCAAGGATCGGGCAGCTTTCGAGGCCGAATACCGACTTGGCCCCCTCCTGGGTAAGGGAGGCTTTGGCACCGTCTTCGCGGGACACCGCGTCACGGATAGACGTCAGGTGGCCATCAAAGTAATCTCCCGGAACCGTGTGCTAGGCTGGTCCACCGTGTCAGACTCAGTCACCTGCCCACTTGAGGTAGCACTGCTGTGGAAAGTGGGTGAAGGCAATGGCCATCCAGGTGTGATACGCCTGCTTGACTGGTTTGAGACACCAGAAGGCTTCATGCTGGTCGTTGAGCGGCCTATGCCTGCCCAGGATCTCTTCGACTACATCACAGAGAAGGGGCCGCTGGGTGAAAGCTGTAGCCGCAGCTTCTTTACCCAAGTGGTGGCAGCTGTCCAGCACTGCCACGCCCGTGGAGTTGTCCATCGTGACATCAAGGATGAGAACATCCTGATAGACCTGTGCCGGGGTTCTATTAAACTCATTGATTTTGGTTCTGGTGCCCTGCTCCATGATGAACCGTACACGGACTTCGATGGGACAAGGGTGTATAGCCCTCCGGAGTGGATCTCACGACACCAGTACCATGCCCTTCCAGCTACCGTCTGGTCACTAGGTGTCCTACTCTATGACATGGTCTGTGGGGACATTCCCTTTGAGAGAGACCAGGAGATTCTCGAGGCTGAGCTCCACTTCCCTGCTCATGTCTCCCCAGATTGCTGTGCCCTAATCCGCCGGTGCCTGGCCCCTAAACCCTGCTCCCGACCCTCACTGGAGGAGATTCTGCTGGACCCCTGGATGCAAACACCAGCTGAAGAAAAACCCATCAACCCCTCCAAAGGAAGCCCTACCCCCTTGCCCTGGTCCCTGCTTCCCTAGACTCAGCCAAGCTCTCTGGTTGGAATCCCATGGTCATGCTACAGGGATAGATGGACATCTGTTGACCTGGTTATACAGGTTGTTAAAAATCCAGTATTACTAAGGTCAGGGAATAGGGATCAGGGGTCAGAAGATGATAGCCAAGTCTGCCCAGTTCCTATCCCAATTCTGGGAAGGAACTCTCCTCCCAGAACCTGTGGTCCCTAGTTTGGGAGGGGGAGTTACTTGTTTCTTGTTCTGTTAAGGATGTTTATTTGGTTGGATTCCTTCCCTTCAGAGCCCTAAGATTCTTATTCTACATTGTAGTCCCTACACTGGCACCTCCTATACTACCACCACAAACGTAGACACTTAGTTCAAATGCTCTCACTTGGGCAAGGGTGCTTTCCTTAAAATTACCCCGCCCCACCCCACCCCACCCCCAGCTGCTCTTTAGCAAAAGGGCCTTACTTACCCTGGGATCTCATTCAGTTGCTGCTTGCCTGCCTTAGCCCAGAAATGATTATTCTGGGAGGTAATGCCCCATTAATTAATTAGTATCCTAGTGCTTTTTTTCTTTTTGTTTTTTTTTCTTTGTTTGGTGAGGGGACCCTACTGTTATCCCAAGTGCTCTTATTCTGGTGAGAAGAACCTTACTTCCATAATTTGGGAAGGAATGGGAGATGGACATCACCGGACACCACCAGAGACTAGGATGGGATGGGTGGTTTTGGGGGGATGAGATGGAGGAAATAAGTCTTACTGTTGTTCTCCTGGGGTCCCCCCTCTCCAACTTTTGCTGCCTCCTCCTGAGCCAGGATTGTCCAGTGGTTGAAATGTAAATAATTGCGTACTGGAGATGGAGAGCCACCAGTGTGCCCTCCTGTCCCTTCTCCCCCCTGCCTGGATTATTTAAAAAGCCATGTGTGGAAACCTATTTAATAAATAATGAAGTCGCAAAAAAAAAAAAAAAAAAAAAGAGCACTGGCTGCTCTTCCAGAGGACCCAGGTTCAAATCCTAGCACCCACATAACTATCTATAACTCCAGTTCCAGGGGAATCTTCTGGCCTCTGTGGGCACTGTGCACACACAGTATACATACCTTTTGGCCGGGCGGTAGTGACGCACGCCTTTAATGCCAGCACTTGGGAGGCAGAGACAGGCGGATTTCTGAGTTCGAGGCCAGCCTGGTCTACAGAGTGAGTTCCAGGACAGCCAGGACTACACAGAGAAACCCTGTCTCAGAAAAACAAAAAAACCCAAAAAACAAACAAACAAAAAACCCAAATTACAAATCCTTCCAGTGGTGTACCCCTTTAATCCCAGCACTCCAAAGCCAGAGGCAAGTGGTAGACCTCTGAGTTCAAGGCAAGCCTGGTCTACAGAGTGAGTTCCAAGACAGCCAGAGCTGCACAGAGAAACCCTGCTTCAAAAACACAAACACCTCAAAACCAAACCAAACAAAAACCAACTCCCCACAAAAACTTTTAATATATTGGTGTACCCAAGGTGAATATTTGTTAAGCATTGTATGCACGTGACCAACCATGTTTTGACTTCTAAGACCATTTCCTTAGTGTCTGTGAGAGTGACCGTGCTTCCCAGGATGAAGACACTGGCAGGTAAATCTCCCCCAGATGGTAGAAGCAGCATACTTAGCGATGCTCAGAGGATGCTCCAGCCCTCAGTACTGTTAACAGCATTGGCAGGTGCTGCTTTCCTTTCCCAGCTTTTGTGAGGTGCCTGTCACAAATACAGTTGCCTTAGAGATGAGAACAGTCTTCTGACCTTCTGGGAAAAGTCTCAACTATGGTCATCCCTGCATGGTGAATTTCCCTGATTGGTTGTTGGACTCTGGTGAGTCAGTTTCCTTTCCTGCAAAATAAAATCATTTTCATGGAGGAATGTTGTATGTGGTAACTCTGTGGTCCCCGGCAGCATCTGGGATACTGAGCTACTGACCCTGGGGATATGGTCGATTCAGTTCATACAGGGAGTAATGGAGGTGTCCTTTCCACCCCTACACATCTCCCTCACAGTGGAAAGACAGTCATCCCCACCTTATCCTCAGTGCCCCCTGCTGTAAGGGAAACCAGGGCCCGAGTGATCTAAAGAGAAACTTCCTGGCGTTTCCAGTAGCCACAGCTGGAGGCCAGAGGTGAGGCCTGAGCCAGATGTTCTCACCCTTACTACATTCCAGGATGAGGACTCCAACCATGCTGCTCAATTCTACAGACTCTGTCCAGCAGGCTTCAGAGCCTCCCACATCTGGTGGGATTTCCAGGATGCGCTGTGTGCTGTGCCCTGTGTTACTTCCCCTCCCCCAACCTGTACTGGGCAAGCCCCAACCTCAGAATGGTGTGTGGGTCTTCCCACACAGTGAGAATCTTCCACAGCGTCTGGCCTGCTGGGTGAGGTGACTGTGCCTCTGCTACCAACATGAGACCTTTTCTGCTCAGTGCCCACCCTCCAGTCAGTCCTTTGCTCGGAATGCCTCTCTTTCCAGCTATACCCACTCATCAGGGCTTCCCTGAGCCCTGGCTCATTCCTAACAGAGGCCTCCCTTTGGCTTTCCATTTTAGAGGTCCTTACTCTGCTGACTTCAGTCCTGGGATGCCTTTCTGGAGTACTTTTCATTAAAGAGTCTATTTTATTTTAGATTACATGCATATGTGTGTGGGCACATGCATGTGTGCACAGAGCAGGAAGAGGGCCTTGGGTCCCCTGAAGCTGGACTTAGAGACAGCTGGACGCCTCCCTCTCATGTGGGCACTGAACTTGCACAGTGCCCTCTCTTAACCACTGAGCCATCTCTGCAGCCATCCAATTGTTGGGATCTTTTGTGCACATGCCTGCTCCCCTCTTCTGCGTCCCTAACAGTGGAGATGGGAGTAGGAAGCAGGGATCTTGTAGAATCCAAGGGAATCTTGCTATCTCAGCTTCCCCATCTGTAAACAGGGCTAGAAGCTTGGGGCACTGGGAAGATGACATTTGGATGAGCCCTTGATACCTTACCAGGTACAAGGCTGGCAACTGCTCAGTATGTGATGTTGTATAACCACGGGCTTTTCCACCTGTGCCCCTGTTCCCAAATAACAAATCAGAGGCTGAAATATTTGATAATAAATGCCTAGGCCGTAAGCCTTGGCTTGTTCGCTGACTAGCATGTAACATAACCCTTTAAACTATTCTATGTCTTCCACATGGTTAGTTACCTCTCCTCAGTATTATGTCTGAGTCCAGGCAAATCTCTTGCCTCTGACTATCTCCCAGAGTTCCAATGTCTTTGCCACATCTTCCTCCTTCTAATGCTGCCTCAGTTTACTGGCTGTCAGCTTTTTATTGACAGGTGATGCTTCCACACAGTACAGAAGAGAGTCTCTACAGATGGGTGCTAATCCTGACACAGTCCCAGGGCTTTGATAGGTACTTGTGCACTAGAAAATAACCAATAGATTAATTAATCAAGTCATTGGCATGAAAGGCTGGATGTACTTAATTGCTCCTACAACTTCCCAATGGAAGAGCTGCAACACTTGAGAGACGACAGGAGAGAGGCGAGCAAGGAAGGTTAGTGAGAAGACAGAGGGAGGAGGGTGGGGAAAGGGATGAAGGCCAAGCCCAAGGGCAGTGGTGGATTTCTTGGAGGAGCAGGGAGGCAGGACTGTGAGAACTGAGTTCAAAGTCTCTCCACCCACAGCATTTCAGAGCTGGAAAGGTTGCCTGGAGACCAGAGACCCCTCCCATCTCTGAGCCTAAGTGACAGTGGATGGCCTTGGGGGGGCAGGAGTCCTGAGAGAGCACTGACAGCCATACCTGCTCCTGCCAGGGACCCATGCACAGGGACTGCACCCTCCACCTGGCTCCCCAAGGCTGCTTCAGCAGGGAGCGTGTCCCCACGGGAATTCCTGGAGGTGTGGGAGAAGCAGAAACTCTGGACAGGAGAAGAGTGCTGTGTGTAACTTCCTCTTGTCTCCCCCATGGCCTCCCTCATGGCCATCTTCAGCTGCTCCTGTCTCCTCAGCCCCTTCCCCTGTCTCCAGGATTCTCCCCATTAACACCTGCCCAGGCCAGGAAGCTGAGTTCTACATGGCACCCAGCACCTTCTGGTCAGTCCTGGGTTCTGGTCACAACTAGGGGCTCCTGCTGGAAATCCCAGTGACAAGTGGGCAGCATCACCCAGTGGCCTTGACTGGCTGGAGGCATTCCCCATTGCTGTTCTGAGATGGGAGCCTCGACCTTGCCTGCCCCACCCCCACCCAGCTGGACAAGAGGTACTCAAGTCCCTTGTATAAAGTAGTATTTGTGTATGTCCTGTATACGTTCTCCGTGTGCTCAACCTGACATTACATATAATACCTAGCAGTGTAAATGGGAGTAGTTGTTAAGATGACATCATTTGGTAATAATAACAAGACAAATCTGTACAGATGCAATTTAAATATTTGTTTTGTGCATGTGAGTGTAAATATGTGTGTGTGAGAGTATGAACATGCCATGGCATGTATGTAGAGATCAGATGCTAAACTTGGCTGTCAGTCCTCCATGAATCCCAATCTAACAGGATCCAACCCAGCTTGAGAATCCAACAGGTCAGGAAAACCTGCAGAGTTGTTTGCTATGTTAACATGGCCATGTCTGTCAAGAATGTAGTCCATCCAATCAATGATGGTGTGTTACAGATTTCATACTATATTCTCCTACTGTCTGTCTCAATGTGTGGGTGTATCAGTGTATGAGAGACATAGATACAGATATACAGACATACACACATACACAGAGAGAGACAGAGACAGTGACAGTGACAATGACAGAGAGATGGTGTGGGGAATGATCCACTGGGTACAATGTCTTTTTTCATCATGTGCTTTGGATTCTCTTAGGCTCTGAATGTTAGCACAGCTCCATGTTAGCTGAGACCCTAACATGTAAGGTGGGGTTTTAGGATGGGAACTGTGCCCATGTAGATGGCCAAGGCTCCTTTGGGACCTTCCATTATGTGAGGACACAGCAAGAAGTTGCCACTTGCAGTTTACAAAGCAGTCCCTCACCAGATACCACGACCTTTGGCTTCAGGATGGGAATGCCATTTTGTATTTTGTAAGCTACTCAGTTTATAATGTTTTGTTACAACAGCCTGATTTAGGTAAGACGGCCCATCTGCATATCCTGTTGCCATTTCTCCATTTGTTTAAATGAAAATCAGATGAAAGTCTAATAAAAAGTTTGGAAGAATTGTCCTGTTGTATGATATCCACCAGAGAAGACTGCTCAGACATGGGTTCAAGGCAATAGAAAGCCCTCCAGTAACCAACTTCACTGGGTGTTCGTGACCCCAGTTCAGTTCTGAGCCCTTTTCAGGGTGAGTTTTCAAGCAGAAAAATCATATCTTGGGCTGACACACCTCTGTTATCAAGAATAGTTCACCAGAAGCAGAACTACAGAAGCTAAAAAGCAAGGTTAGTACATCTAGGAACTTTCCCAGAACTATGGACTCTGATAGAAGGCAAGAGCTCAACCATTGAGTTCTACCAGAACCCTTCTACCTTAAAAAAAAAAAAATCCCTGTTATTTATCTAACTCTTTGAGTGCACAGTTCTTTCTTTGTACAAAGTCATGTGCCATGTGAATTAGTAATCTGCTATAATACAGTCCCAACGATAGGACAAGTCAAACAAAAGTGTATTTTTATCTCTTGTGACATCTGCAATATATGGAAGAAACACTGCACACAGATGTGCAGAATTCCCTGGTTTCTTTATCTGTTTTCTCCATCATCCCTAGAATGGTCTTTGTGTGGCTTGTTTTGCTAGCATTTCTACTGTTTTGGTAAACCCCCATGACCAAAAGCAACTTGGAGAGGAAAACATTTATTTCAGCCTGTATCTCTCAGGTCACTGAAGGAAGCCAGGGCAGAAATGAAGAAGGAAGCAGGAACCAAAGTGGACGCCATGACAGAGTGCTGCTCAGTGGATTGCTCCTTATGGCTTGCTTAGCCTGCTCTCTTATGCCATCCATGAGCTCTTGTCTGAGGTAACACCACCACAATGGGCTAGGCTTTCCCACTTGAATCATCGAGGAAAACGTCCCATAGGCTTGCCCACAGGGCAATCTAGTGGGAGCATTTCCTCAATTTACTCAATTAGTGTATCATATGACTTATCTGATACACTACCCATCAGAGAAATGCAAATCAAAACCTCATTGTGATCCCATTTTACCCAGTTAGAATGTCATAAGAAAACAAACAACAACAACAACATAAATAAATAAATAAATAAATAGACAATAAATAGGGGGCTGGAGAGATGGCTCAGGGATTAAGAATACTGATTGTTCTTCCAGAGGTCCTGAGTTCAATTCCCAGCAACTATGTGGTGGCTCACAATCATCTGTAATGGGATCTGATATCCTCTTCTGGTGTGTCTGAAGACAGTGGCAGTATATTCACATTTATAAAATAAATAAATCTTTAAATAAATCAATAAATAACAATAAATTCTGTCAAAGATTTAGACAAATAGGAACCCTTGATATACTGCTGGTGGGAATGAAAACTAGTCCAGTCTCAGTGGAAATCTGGAAGGTTCTCTCTCTCTCTCTCTCTTTTTTTTTTTTTTTTTTGGTTTTTCGAGACAGGGTTTCTCTGTGTAGCCCTGGCTGTCCTGGAACTCACTCTGTAGACGAGGCTGGCCTCGAACTCAGAAATCCACCTGCCTCTGCCTCCCAAGTGCTGGGATTAAAGGCGTGCGCCACCACCGCCCGGCTGGAAGGTTCTCAAAACAATGAAAAAAAATAGATAACCACACAGAACCTGGTTCTCCTACTACCCTTCTGCAGTTAGTGTTATGTCTCAAAATATGATTTTATGTTTAGTTATTTCAGTAAATTGTCTTTTTAAAGTTATGACTAGGCAATAATACAGAGTGAAATTTAACCATACTTAAGGAGAACTCAGGCCTTTTGGGAAAATCTGGCCTTTTGCTTAAGGATCTCACTTCACATGTAGACAGAGCTGAGCTGCGGACAGGAGTGCCTGAAGAAATGATCACAGTTCTGTGGCTGCTTCATTCTGGTCATTAACACATCTGTCCTGGTAAAAACTAGCCTTGCTGGCAGCAGGCACACACCTTTAATCCCAGCACTTGGGAGGCAGAGGTGGGAGTTTGAGGACAGCCTGGTCTGCAGAGCAAGTTTAGGACAGCTTGGGCTATACTGAGAAACCCTTTCTTGACCAAAACCAAAAACCAAAAAAGAAAAAAAAATAAAGAAAAAGAAAGAAGAGAAAAGAGGAAAGAAAGTCAAAACAAAAACTCAAAAAATAAATAAAACAAAGCAAAAAAAAACCAGCAAAAAACAAAACATCAAGACGTGTGGTTGAATGTTTTTCACTTCTGCTCTCTAAGCAAGTGTGTCTTTCCACACAATGCCCTCTGTGGTGAGTGGTGGATTCTCTTGAGGGTTCACCAAATGATAGGCTTTCACAATGTTCCTGGGTGTCTACCAGACCCAGCAAAGTATTGATGTGGTTTTGGGGTAAAAGTCACTCTGCCTTGTGCAATAGTTAGAATCTGCTGAAGCCAGCAGTGTTCTATATGGGACAGGGGTCCAGGGCTACCCCAGAGGCTATAAATGAGCACAGGTAAAGGCCATGAGGCATTAGAGAGCGCATGCCCTTTGTGGTCAGAGAGAGCCAGCTTCTTGCCTTGACTCACTCTTACTGGATTCTGGCTTCTTCATTAAGTGGGAAACAACCATAGCTATCTCCATGGGAAGGCTGAACATGGCCATTCATTTATTCCTTGATTCAACATTGGTTGTTACTTACTTAGTCTAAGGGCTAGAAAACATAACCTCAAATAGGTAAAGCCCCTGCTCCAGCATGTTTGTATTTCAGTAAGAGCAAAAGACTGTAACACACATACAAAATAAGTAAGAAAATACAACAACAAACAACAACAATAACAACAACACATGCACACACACACAATAAGTAAGCAAAATGCTAAAGTAAAGATACAGTAATACACTTTTGAGTTACTGCAGTTCTCTCTCCTCTGCTTCATACAATTTGCCTGGGAAACTTCCAGAGCCATATAGTCACACCTAACAGCTCTTAGAAATGAGCTCATGCCGGGCGGTGGTGGCGCACGCCTTTAATCCCAGCACTTGGGAGGCAGAGGCAGGCGGATTTCTGAGTTCGAGAGTTCGAGGCTAGCCTGGTCTACAGAGTGAGTTCCAGGACAGCCAGGGCTACACAGAGAAACCCTGTCTCGAAAAAAAACAAAAACCAAAAAAAAAAAAAAAAAAAAAAAAAAAGAAATGAGCTCATGTCTTTAATCTACATGGCCTAATGTGATTTCTCTAGAAACATCCGTGCATTAATAGGAAGACAAGATGGAAGATCATATTTTGACTCCTTCCTTGGTGGGCTTGACACTGCTGGGCCTACCCACTAGTAAAGGCAGGCCTCTTAGGCTTTGTGTGGCCAGTAAAAGGTGGTAGTTGGAGGTAGCAGATGCTTGCCCAGCCATTTCTTGGGAGCATTCTGTCTCTGAGTGTCTTATTGAAGCTGCTGCTGGCATCCAGACCTTTTTCTGGATTCACGGTTTAACTCATCAGCTTTGTGTTCCTGAGAATCAGCTGTGATCTTTCAAAAATAAGATGTGAGTTCACTGAGAGGTTCCCAAGGTTGGCCTTTCCAACCTCAAGCCTTCTGGGAACAGTTTAGTGGGTGGTGAGTGCTAGTTGCAGTTGGCTGTCAGCCCAGAGCTAGGCTCTCAATAAGACAAAAGAGGTATATACTTAAGTGGTCTAGAAATCGAGATTTATCTATTCACAGAAAATGAGTTTTTAAAACATTAGTTTGAAACTCAGAACCAGAAAAATCTTAAAACATGGCACTCCAATGTCAAGGTAAGTGTTCTGTGACATCGGGCTTGAGTTATGTAGGGACCATAGATTTTAGAATTTGGAGTTGCTAAGAGCCTTGAACTTGCCTCACTCCAGGAACCTTCCTGTACATCAGCTCTCAGAATTCATATACATGGTCTTTCCTCAGTATGGGATCCAGACTAGCAAGTGGAAGACACCTTCTATTTCTTAAAGATTTGTTTATGTATCTGGGTATTTTGGCTGCATGCACATCTACATGCTAGAAGAAGGCATCGGATCCCATGGGATTACTGTCGATGCTGGGAATTGAACTCAGGACCTCTGGAAGCGCAGCCAGTGCTCTTAACCGTGGAACCATCTCTCCAGCCCCTCTATTTCTTACTCTAGTGCAACCCCTCTTCATTCTTCTGAAATATTAATGTCTGAACCGCACAGCTTCACATCTAGATACACAGAAAGAGCAGGAGTACCATGTGAGAATTAGCGTCGTTGACTCTCCAGGACAAACTTATGGGAGAGGGAGGTCTCCTGACCCCTGAACAGCTCATTTCACTTGATACTTTTCATTGCATTCAGAAGCATGTTGTTTTGATTACTGTCCTTACCCTTGTCCCATCTGTTGCTCTGGTAGAGTATAGCTAAAGCCTGGGAACAGGAGGGCTTGACAGAAGCCCTACTTGGCTTCCCAGTGCCAAGCTGGATTAAACCGGGTTCCCTAGGGAGGAGTTTTAAGGCAGCTGCCAGGGGTAAGGAGCCCACTCATTGGCTACTGGCCCTGACTGGGCAATGGTGAGGCGGGGTCTGCCTGTCCCTGTGAGTACCAGACTCATGAGACCTGGCCATTTTCTCCTCATCTCCGTCTGTATAATTGCCAGTGGATCTGACTACACCAAAAGGTAAGAAAAATTCTACTACATTCCTGGCTGGCTGGGTATGGATGCCCAATCCCGGCTGGGTTGTGTTTAGATTTTCCTCTCTGTGGTAATGTGAGGGTAGATGTAGAGAAACCTCAGACCATGGAAATATGGTTGGGGCAGATAAGATTTGGGGATTTTTTTTAATTCTTCAAAGCTCTAAGAAAGAAACAATTGTGGCCGGGCAGTGGTGGCGCACGCCTTTAATCCCAGCACTTGGGAGGCAGAGGCAGGCAGATTTCTGAGTTCGAGGCCAGCCTAGTCTACAGAGTGAGTTCCAGGACAGCCAATGCTACACAGAGAAACCCTGTCTCGAAAAAAAACCAAACCAAAAAAAAAAAAAAAAAAAAAAAGAAAGAAAGAAACAATTACCTTTTGGTCCACATGTTTGAGACTAACCTGAAGTTTGGCTCGTTCATTTGATGGCGGGGTGCCCACTGCAAAAGGAACCCAGAATTAGTGAGGTAGGCGGGTCTATCCACAGATGAGACTCCGTTAGAAAGTAGGATCTACTGTTTCTCAGCTTTATGAGTTACAGTGAAAGGAGAAGCAGGCAGAGAGGCAGCCTGAGGAAGATAGTTGAGGTTAGACCTCAGACTGTAGGATCCAACTCTATCACTTTGTTCTACTTAGCAGATATGCAGGGAGCATGGGCTGTATAACACTTTGTCAGGACTGAGAAAACATGGGTGTGGTCTGAGGAGTTGGGGACATCTATCTGCATAGAGACATTTTAGGGGATGTTTGAGAGGGGATTGGTTGACACAAAGTGGTCAGAACCTGGAAAAGAGTGGCGATCTGGACAGAAAGCCATATTCTGAAAGATATTTTCTGACAGAGGCACTGCACCTGCTTGGTCTTTGTCAAACCCAACTATGGCTCTGGAAACACAGCATCAGAAACCTCGTGGTAGAGGAGATGAGGGAGGGAGGGGTTTGGAAGTCAAGGCAGCCTCTTGAGTGTTATGATATGTAAGTCCTCGGTCTGAAGAAATTTTGTTTTTGAGTCCAGGTTTCACTATGTATTCCTTACTGGCTTGGAATTTACAAGGACCAGTCTACTACTGAACTCACAGAGATCCACCTGCCTTGCTGGCTCCCAAGTGCAGGGATCAAGTGTGTGCTGAGAATGGATCTTGAATCACAAGAGTACAGTCATTTCACTCCCCATGACTTCATTAAAAAGGAGGGCAGGGAGTTTGGTTAGAGTCATTCTGGGAGCAAGAGGGCAGGCTGAGCAGGCCAGGGGGGCAAGAGAGTGCAGCTTGGTTCTTGGAGCAGTTTGGTTCTCAAGGCTTAATGAGAAATCCTTGATGCCCCTCTCCCTGTGTCTTGAGGAAACTTAAGAGACACAGGGTTTGCTTCTAGTCTTGTGTGTGTGAATTTGTATGCATGTGTATGTAGAAGCCAGAGGTATCTTTCCATGTGAAGTGTCTTTCTTAATCTTTGCCTTATTTTTTGAGACAAGATCTCTCACAGAACCTGGAGCTTGATGAAGGAGACCATACCGATGAGGTCATTGATCTCTGGGGACATTCTTGTCTCTGATATCCCCTACCCCAGTGTCAGGGTTAAAGGTGACTGCTTTTTACATGAATTCTGGGGACCTAATTCAGGTCCTCATGCTTTCACAAGAAAGCACTCATCAGCAGAGCCATCTCCCAAGCACTTACAAATATTGTGTGTGTGTGTGTGTGTGTGTGTTTGCGCATGCGCGTGTATTTACATGCAAGAGTCTAATGTGAACAGACATGTTTATTCTACAGCAGGCACACGGAGGTGGGAGGGTAACTTTTGGGAGTCATCCCTCCTTACTTGCCTTATTTGAGGGGCTCTCTTTTGTTTCTTCCACTCTGTGCACTGCCTGGTCCCCAAGCTTTGAGACAATTCTCTTGTCTTCACCCACCATCAGACTCAGGGATGCTGTGATCACCACCGAATCTTGCTTTTTATGTGAGATCCAGGGATTGACTCAGTCTGTCATCCTTGCCCAGGAAATGCATCTCCTGTAGCCCTCATTTTCCGAGGTTACAGAGACAAACATTCCAGCTACGTGTCAACTCAGAGGACCAGTAGCCCCATGCACTCTGCTGAAGTCAGGAATTGATATCTTTTGGAAAGCAAAGGTTTTGATCAGGAATGTATCCTACAAACTCCTTGGAGGGATGCTCTGCTTTGCCAGTTTCTTGAGAGTGTACAAATGTGTGCACACATATATAAGGGACGTGAGACTGCTAACGGCTCTCCAAAGGCTGAGTGACACCTTCCAGATAATCTTAGGAGTGAGACAGAGGTGCCTGAGCTCCCGGTACTGCCGTTTATGATTGGGTTGTGCCATTGTGAAATTGTGAATATTAATTTACTTTTTGTTTGTTTGTTTTTTTGTGTGTTACTGAGTGTTGAACTTAGAGTTTCATACATACTAGGCAAACAAACACTCCACCACTGAGCACTCCACCCTTGGGCACTACTTTGATCCTTAAGAATGGCTATTTTGGAGGCTGGAGAGATGGCTCAGTGGTTAATAGCACTGACTGCTCTTCCAGAGGTCCTGAGTTCAATTCCCAGCAACCACCCAGTGGCTCACAACCATCTGTAATGGGATCTGATGTCCTTTTCTGATGTGTTTTGAAGATGGTGACAGAGTACTCACGCGTTTAAAATAAATAAATCTTAAAAAGAATAGCATCATGGCCTCTTCAAGTCTCAGCTTCTTCTGTATATTGCAACAAGAAGCAAGGCTAAAGACAAGCTGAATGAGATAAAACCTAGAAGTCCTTTGTGCTAGTGCACACCTTTATTTAGACTTAGCATTCAGGAGGCAGAGGCAGGTGATCTCTATGAGTTCAAGGCCAGCCTACAAAGAGTTCCAAGGCAGTCAGGAGTCTCTCTCTCTCTCTCTCTCTCTCTCTCTCTCTCTCTCTCTCTCTCTCTCTCTCTCTCTCTCTGTGTGTGTGTTTCCATCTCAAAAAACAAGAAAACAAAATGAAGTGTCTTATGCAAATTCTACTGCACAGAATTGTTGCACATCAGAAATGTTCCTCATCTCATACGACCCTACTGAGCAGGATAGGATGCTGGGCCCAAGCTCTGAGGGTTATCTTAGAGGCAGTTGCAGGCTATGCTGGTTTGTAAGCTGGAAATCTCTTGAGGTTCATCTTTCTGTATTTCAACTTCCTCCCTTCTTGTTCTCTCCTTGGAGTCTCATGAAGGTGAAAACAACTGACAATTCAGGTTTCCAGAACACAGAGCGTTTCCATGAGGATGTAGGAAATGCCCTCAGCCTTTCTGCTTCTACAAGCAAGGGTGGGAGGGTCCTGGAGTTACTTTTGGCTCTGGCATTTCTCTGTGCTTTGTGGTCTTTACTGGCTGGAGGTATAGAGACCATATTCAATGACCTCTTCTCTCCTTGTGAACTAATTTCTTCCAGTCCCAGAGGAAACTCCAGTCTCAAATTTCACAAGATTCTGATGTTGCTATTGAGATCCCAGCAGGTCAAAGTGGAGTTTCACATCTACTTCACTATGCTGCGTTCCTGGAACGTTGCAGCCATCCCTCTGCATAACTCCTGTGCCGTTTGCTAGGAAGGCCAGTGTGGGTCATCAGATGACATCTATTTATTTATTTATTTGTTTGCTTATTTATTTATTTTTAAATTTTGAGACAGGGTTTCTCTGTGTAACAGATAAAAGTGCCCTGGCTGTCCTGGACCCAGTAGACCAGGCTAACCTCAGACTCAGAGCAATTGGCTTGCATCTGCATCCCTCATGCTAGGACTTAAGGCCATGTGGGTGGAATGAAACTCAGCAGCTCTCCACAGTGGATGATACATTAATATTTGTTTGCTTCCCTTCTCTCACGAACACGTACAGTACATTGTAAGTTTATAAAATATAATAATACTGTGACATCACATTTCTAGGCAAAGAGCATAAAGCCAGGGAGGCAGATGGGGGCAGAATGAAGAGAGAGTTGGGAAGCCAGGTCATTTGATTGACAGTCTTCTGGTCTCTCACCCCCTCCCCATAGGGAAGGGTACTAAAAGGCAGGGTATGTGACTGTGTACTTTTCTCTTCCCTGTCTGTGTCAGAGTCTGTTATCAGGCCAGGACTCCACTTCCACATCTTCTGTTGGATCTGGATTATCACTCAAGCACTCGGCAGACCCAGTTCCTCATCCCTAAATCAGTGCAGTCATAAGTGACAGCCATTGCTCACCAGCTTACTCCAGACACCCCACTAAGCATGGTTCGTGGGTTCTTTTGTTTAGTCTTCCAACAAACACATAAAGGGCAAGAACTGGTTATTGTATCTGAGCACGTGTTTCCCTGAGTACCCCCACATTGTCTCCAAATGGCTGTGATGATTCAATGAGCTGGTGGGGCAAAGCCTTTCCAAATGTAAAGCATTTTACTGGATTCTTGCTATCTACCTTCAACGCCCATCCAAAAACATTTGTAACAGGCTCTAGCCGCAGTTTTTTGTTCAGCACTCGGTTCCATTCAGTAGTGTTTTCCCCATAGAAATAGAAGTCTTTCAAAATCAAAGTCCAGCAATTGCTTTGTCTACGTAAAGAACAGAAATAATGTTGAATTCAAAAATAATGAGGCATTCTGTGTTGTCCTTCAGTGGTTATCCATAGCTGACTTTACATCCAGAACTAGGTGAAAGTGAAGCCTTCAATCAGGATCTGTCCTTAGCACCCAGCACCCAAATGCTTAGGAGCTGGAAAGATAGCTCAGCAGTTAACAGCATGTGAAGAGGAAATTTTGCAAAGGACCTGGTTCGCAACTGTCTGCAACTTAGTTTCAGGTGATCCAATGCCTTCTGCTCTCCGTTGGTGCCTGTACATAGGTGCATACCCCCATGCAAATTCAAATAATTAAAAAATAAAGATAAATCTTAAGAAAGAACAGCTAAGGACATGTAGCGTTTAGTACCTCCACCCTATGCTACTCCTGGGATCCTGAACAACCATAGCTGTGAGTAGAGAAAAGCATTGAGAACACGGAGGTGTTGGGGAAGAGTGTGTTCTTAGGTGAGAAGGGTTTTTCAATAGAGAGAGAGAACCAGAAAACTATAGAGATCTGTCTTTACCTTCCTTCCTAGCATTAGGGATAAGTCTTGAGCTACCCTTTGTTTTTGGGGTCCTCCTTAACTGCCTACATTATTTCAAGCAATCTGGACTCTTTCTTATTGGGTGCTCCTTAGATTCTTCAGTTGAAGTCCTCAGGAATATGATTGCTGGCGCTGTAAGAAGGACAGAGTTGACATAGGACAGATGAAATCTTAAGTCTCAGAGCGATGGTGGTCACTGAGCAATGGCTCAGTGGGTAAAGATTCTGAACCCAATGACCTGAGTTCATTCCCCAGGATCCAGCTGATAGGAGAGAGCTGACGAGCTGCCTCCCACAAGGTGCTCTCTGACTTCTGTGGGTACATACCCACAGGCACAGGTACACACACACACACACACACACACAAACACACACACAAGTTAACCAACCAACCAACCAATAGACTGACTAACTAACTAACTAACTAACTAACTAACTAACTGTAATAAAAAAGTTCCAGGGCAAGCATTCTTTCTAATTACAAGAGGAGTATTTGAAGACTTTCCTCTGGTCTTCTCTACCCTGCCCTTTTCACTCTGGGAAAGAGCCAGACCTAAGCTCTGCTCATTTGTAGCAGTTGCTGAGACTAGGTTCCTGATCACTCCAGGTTCAGTAGATGGCGACAGAAGCACTCAGAGACACTATGGGCCAGTCTGGGGCAGACTCCCGCTCTCCAAGAGCAACATTCAGACAGTTGTTTCTGACCTTCTCCTACCCGCACCTGCCAGTTCCAATTCGTGCACAGTTAACTAGAATTGAATATTTAGAGAATGATGAGCCAAGGCGCAGGGAGTACAAAGATGAATTTAATCAAAGGTATTTAAAATGATCTTATGCCACAGTTTACAGCACCATTAAAAAAGTCACAAGTACAGTAAAGAGTGATATTAAATATATAGAGGGGAAAGAAATGAAAGAAAACAGGATATTACCAAATCCTTCTGGGAATAAGAGCTGTTTAATGTTTGGAATGAAGGAAAATGTCTGCAGAGCTGAGGACATAAATGATAGACTTTCTGTACACCTGGAAATGAGGACAGATGAACAGAAGGACAATCTGCACTTAGAAGGCAAGTCATGACAGTGTGATGTAAGAAGACAAAATGGTGACACACGCTCACACACGGTGACACACGCTCACACAATTGCTTGCAGAGACATTAACAATAAGATGTTGCAGAGATGAGTCGAGAGGCCTTGGGTATGAGTCTCAGCACTGTTGGGGGAGGGGACAATAACCTCCACATAAAACCAGCTGAACGTTACAGGAGCTGGGTGTGCTGGTACACCTGAGAATCTCAGTTTCAGGGAGGCCAAGGCAGGAGGAGTGCCCTGAGTTTGAGGCCAGTTTGGGCTACATACAAAGACTCTATATTAAAAAAGGGTAAAACTTTTAAAAAGTCTATGTGGTGGTGGCTTTTTCTTGTAACGTCAACACTTGGGAGGTGGCAATGAGGCCATCAGGAGTTCAAGGTCATCTTAAATCCAGTGACCGTGGCATTGAGGCTAGTCTGGGTTCCATGAAACTCATTCTCAAAATAGTGCTCCCCCAAGAAAAACCTCAAATCAAAACATATCAAAGACACAACAGTGCAGAAGAAACACTTTGTGATCTCAGTAAGTTAATGGACAGAGAACACTTACACAGGGACTTAATGAGGAAATCAAAAAATAGCCCTTTGAATAAAATGTACAGTTTATTAATGACTGAAGAATGAAAACCATTTATTTTGCTCACTAAATTTAACAGCTAAAACGGCAATATCTTTTTTGTTTTTGTTTGTTTTGGTTTTAGTTTTTGAGACAGAAAATCCACATCACTCTCACTGGCCTGGAAGTTACTATGTAGATCAGGCTGGTTTCAAACTCACAAAGATCCACTTGCCTCTGCCTCCCAAGTGCTGGAATCATAGGCTTGTGCCACTCTTCTTGGCTAGCAATACACTTTTTTAAAACTGAGAATGCCCAAAGCTGGCCAGAGTAATTCAGCTAGGCCGGCTTATTTTTTCTTTGCTGTGCTGAGGAAGGAACCCAGGTCCTTGCATATTCTAGGCCTGTGCCCTGCTACAGAGCAACACCCTCAGCCTGAGACAGGTCTTGTATGTATATACTAATGCGCTATTGGGTGGCAGCATGGTATCTCGTAATGTTGGTATGTATATTAAATGATTTTAAAAAGGGGCTGGAGAGAGGGTGCAGTAGTGTAGAGAGCACATTACTCTTCCAGAGGATCTGAGTTCAGTTCCCAGCACTGGAACTCCAGCTCTAGAGGATCTGTCATCCTCTTCTGGCTTCTGCAGGCTCCTGTACACAGGTAGCACCAACGCGCACGTGCACACACACACACACACACACAAATGAAAATAAATTTTTTTGTTGTTGTTGTTTTTGGTTTTTTTGAGATAGGATTGCTCTGTGCAGCCCTGGCTGTCCTGGAACTCACTCTGTAGACCAGGCTAGCCTCGAATTCAGAAATCCACCTGCCTCTGCCTCCCAAGTGCTGGAATTAAAGGCGTGCACCACCACTGCCCGACTTAAATTAAATCTTCTTTAGAAGACTTAAAAATGTAATGTTTAGGTAGTTTGGAGAAAGAGCTCAAAGGTTAAGATCTTGCACTTGTTGCTCTCCCAGAGGACCGAGGTTTGGTTCGTAGTACTTGTGTGAACTCTCCGTAATTCCAGTTCCAGGACACACACACACACACACAAATAAAAACAAAATAAGTCTTTTTTAAAATTTTTTTTTGAAAAAGGCTAATCAGGGCATAGTGGCATATGCCTCTAATTCCTGCACTCGGGAGACAGAGGCAGGTAGAGCTCTGAGTTCTAGGTCAGCCTGGACTTCAGGGTGAGTTCCAGGGCAGTCAAGGCTACAACAGAGAAACCCTGCCTCAAAAACCCAAAAGGACAAAAAGTTTAGATTTCTGGGACTTATAATTTATGTCTGGGAGCATATAATAGAAAGACAGGTTTTAGAAAAGCTGCCTGTCTGAGGACAGCTTTGATTGATTATTTTTAAAGCAGTATATGATATAATTTGTTGCAGAATATAAAATATTTTGAAGTGGAAATAAGCTAAAAAAATAAACCAACTTTAAAACAATTACAGATATCTTGGCCATATCTATTTTATAAACTGGCAATGCATATATTTTAAATGACAATAAAATCTAGAAAATGACATGACTGAAACAGAGAAGAGGAGCTTTAGGTGAAGAATGATTTCCATTTTAAAAGAATAAACAGATTCCTTGGAATTAGAGTTGCTTTTCTCCTATAGTCTCCAAAGAGTTTCTGTGTAGGTGTGTGTGTGTGTATGCATGCACACAAGTGCTCACAAGTATGCATGTGTATATTAAAACGAGGGAAAAAAGAAGAGACTGGAATCAGGCCGTCCCTGCCACATCACTGTCACCTGTGGATTTACAATTCTGAGGCTGAAAGGAGAATGAATGCAGGAGATTTTGCTACTCATTGCAGATTTCAGAGAAGGATGATGTCTGGGTATGATGGTTTGTATATGCGTGGCCCAAGGAGTGGCACTGCTGGGAGGTGTGGCCTTGTTAGAATAGGTGTGTCACTGTGGAGGTGGGCTTTAATACCCTAGTCCTAGCTGCCTGGAAGCCAGTATTCTGCTAGCAACCTTCAGATGACAATGTAGAACTCTCAGCTTCTGCTGTACCATGCCTGCCTGGATGCTACCATGTTCCCACCTTGATGACAATGGACTGAACCTCTGAACCTGTAACCCAGCCCCAATTACATGTTGATCTTATAATAGTTGCCTTGGTCAGGGTGTTTGTTCACAGTAGTAAAACCTAACTACGACCTTGAGTGAAGGCTTCCTGAGAGAGTAAGGACTGGGTAGCCACTGAAGGCTCTCTGTGAGAGGCGAGAGTACGTAGATGCAGATCTTTGGAGTGGATTCCACCTAGTCGGATAGGACATGATGCACGTCCTGATTGGTTGCGCCCTGTGAGTCTGCCCTTCCCATGACTATGCACCTGTCAATTTCAGAGCTCAGGATGCTACGGTTGCAAGCTCTCCTGTTCCTCTTAATCCTGCCCAGTCATGCCGAGGTTGATACAGCTGAGGAGGCGAAAGCTCTGGTCCCTCCACCCAAGGAAACTTGTGCAGGTTGGATGGCAGGCATCCCAGGACATCCTGGCCACAATGGGACACCAGGCCGTGATGGCAGAGATGGCATTCCTGGAGAGAAGGGAGAGAAGGGAGATGCAGGTATGTAGAAGAATTCTGGACAGAGCGAGATCTTTGCAGGGTAAGTGATTCCAATGATTAATTAGGGCCTAGACACAGGCAAGAGGCAAAACCTTTTTTTGTGTGTGGTTCATAAGCATCCTGGAACTTGAACTGTCCTCCTGAAGTGGGACTAGTTGGTACCTATTGAGGTATCCATGACTTCACTCCATCTGCATCTCCTTCTCTCTGCCTACCCCTTCCGTACTACCAATGTATTCCTATTTTTGTTTTCTCTTTAATTCTTGCTCTATCCATGGGCATTCATAAGCACTTTTCATGTATTTCTGAAGCACTCAGTACCTTGGTTTAGCCAACAAGACAGGTGTAGTGGGTTGGCCTAATGCTGCTTGTATTCTAATGCTAATTTGGGACCCCCCCAAAAAAAACTGTGCACCAGAAATGAGAGATGCATGTAAGATGCTGAGTGACTCTGCCCTCAAGTTATCTTTGATTGGTAAATAATAGATGCCAGTAGCTGGTAGCTAGGCTGAAGGGACATAGGTAGAGATTAGGTTTCCTGGACTTGGGTTTGGAGAAGGAGGAGAATGTGAAGGAGGAGCAAGGAAGCGGCCATGGGGTAAGAGTCAAGGAGTGTGGCCATGAGGGCTGCCCAAGTAGAGTGGAGAGCAGCCCAGATGAAACACCGTAAGTAATAACTCGGGGTTATCAACAGGAAAGTAGATTCTAACAGCATAGAGGGTAGTATCTGCCCAGCACTTGTGCTGTTTAAATCTTATGTAAATATAAAGGCTGGGTGTGTCTTTTATCCAAGAGCTCAATAACCAAAGATGGAGCAGAAACCTCAGGCTGGGATTTAAATAATTTTTACAACAGACAAGACTCTGGGTAGAGGTTACTAAGAGAAATGTCTTCCAACATGCAACATGCTCATCTGAATATGTGCAGATGCTGAAGGCATGGGATATAGAAGGTGTACTCAGTGAGGATGCAGATTAACAATGAGGCTACTCTGAGGAGGTAGGGCTTGAGCCACACCTCAGAAGGATGGTTCCAGAGGGTAGAGGAGGGGGACATCTGGTCAGAGGGGATAGAAGGCACACAGTGGTTGGTTAGTCAGTGCACACAGAGCCATAGGGTAGATTGACTATATAGATACTTACAGGAGATTACTTTCTGGAAATCTGCTATGTTTTGGGCATATGGAAAGGCATGGGATGAGGGAATGAAGAGATGAATGAATAAATGGATAAATCATGTTCAGGACATCTACTGACCCCAACTGATCACTTAATAACTCAGAGCTTCTACCAGAGCAAATCATTCACTTGTCAACCAGAGAACAAGGATTTATTATCTAGCTGGAAAGTTTTAAATATCATCAATCTACTTACTCATCTTTTAATTCACCCATAAAGGCTTTGAAAAATAAGGTTGGAGATGAACTTATGGGAACCTGCCAGGCGGTGGAGAGTGGGAGAAACGGAAATGAAGTTTCCTTGTTTTGTCAAATGGATTATGGGTAGAGGTTCCAGAAATAAAGCCTCTCACTGAAAACAGTCTGGGCAGTGCTGTTCCTGCCATTCACAGAGTCCTTCTGGCTTTCTAGGTCTTCTTGGTCCAAAGGGTGAGACGGGAGATGCTGGAATGACAGGAGCTGAAGGGCCACGGGGCTTTCCTGGAACCCCCGGCAGGAAAGGAGAGCCGGGAGAAGCCGCTTCTGTGTATCGCTCAGCATTCAGTGTGGGGCTGGAGACCCGCGTCACCGTCCCCAATGTTCCCATCCGCTTTACGAAGATCTTCTACAACCAACAGAATCATTATGACGGCAGCACTGGGAAATTCTACTGCAACATTCCAGGCCTCTACTACTTCTCCTACCACATCACGGTGTATATGAAGGATGTGAAGGTGAGCCTCTTCAAGAAGGACAAGGCCGTTCTCTTTACCTACGACCAGTATCAGGAAAAGGATGTGGACCAGGCCTCTGGCTCTGTGCTCCTCCATCTGGAGGTGGGAGATCAAGTCTGGCTCCAGGTGTATGGGGATGGGGACCACAATGGACTCTACGCAGATAATGTCAATGACTCTACATTTACTGGCTTCCTTCTCTACCATGATACCAACTGATTGCAACTAACTCAGAGCTGCCCATAGCCTAAACACCCCAAGAATCACAGAACCGTCACCAAGCTTTCAGCTTAGAGAGATTGATTTTATTGCTTAGCTTGAGTTATTATTCAGCTTAGCTGAATATTATCCACATGGATACTCATTCATTCATTAAATGACTTTATAAAAAAATAATTTCTGTGTTCCTAGTCCAGGAAAAAAACACTCCCTGGTCTCCACGACTCTTACATAGTAGCAATAATAGAATGAAAATAATATTTGGTATAGAAGCTTCTCATGACTGTCTGGAAGTAGTCCATGCTAGTTTCTAGTTTCTGCTCACTGTACACAAATCTTGTTCATGCAAATCCTGTAAGGTACAGATGAAATATGGTATCTATTCTTTTCACAGCTGAGGTCTTTAGGCTGAGTTTATGAATGTCTAAAGACCCACAAGTATTAAACTGGCAGAGCTAAAATTGGAGGGTAGAGTATGGTCTGTTCTCACTGAATGGCACCATTTTTCAAAAGCACATGCTCATTTGGAGTGTTGGCAGAGGTCTCTTTCCCACCTCATTTTCGGGTCTCAATTTACATCCACCCCATAGGGCTCTCTCAGAGAAGGTGGTCCTATGTCTAGATCCTATTATGATTCCCATTGGCTCCCTCCCCACTCCACATACCCTCCTCTCTGCACCTTTGCTCATGCTTTTCCAACTAGGGAAATCCCACCCACCTCCACATGGAGGTTGTTCCCTGTCCCTCAAGGCTACTTGGATAGGAGGTGTTCTGATGTGACCTCATTCCAACTTCCTCTGTGTTTTTCCACAGATGAAAGTCTGTCCATGCAACATGTTCTCCATACACTAGGGACAATTGCCTGTTCAGGCTGAGCTTCCTTTTCCTCTGAGTCCTCCCCAGAGATCTTTGACAAGTGTTTCAAAAACAAGAGTCTCCTGAACCCCATTTGTATTCATAGTTTGCTTCAGTTTCTACAATACTTTCATTCTTATCTAAAGAACTATTATTACATTTAGGAATCCAATCCCAGTTTGAATGGTCAGCTTAACCCTTCCCAGGGAGGTGAAGGATGACTGTGCTTTCTACAACACTGGCAGAATTAATTCTCCCTCAAAAAAGTAATTTCAGCCTAAAACACTAAACATAGATGAATTGACTTCATTCTTTCCGTGAGTACTGACAAAATGGAGAGAGAATTGAGGATCCTGAATTGATCATTATTTTCCAAGAATTACAGGTGGACAGGCTGGGGAGATGGCTTTGTCTTTAAGAGCATTTGCCATCTTTAGAGAGGACCTGGGTTCTGTTGCCAGTACCCACAATGAACAGCTCACAGCTATCTGTAACTTCAGTTCCAGTGGATCGATCTGATGCTCCTTTCTGGTTTCTGCATGTACATGGTGCTTGTAAATATAACCAGGCACACACACACACACACACACACACACACACACAAAATAAACAAACAAATCTTAAAATACCCTACCACAGAAGCTGGTTAAATACACTTGGCCCAAGATCTTGATTAGTGGGAGCCTTTGAAGGATCACCTTGACACCCTGCCTGGCTCTCAGTGTGCACTAAGGTGGTGAGGGGGCCTCCTGAAGTTGTTCCTTCTGTGAGCAGTGGGCATATACAGCCCTCAGGCAGCCGTTTGTGACTGATGCAGTGATGGTACTCGGAATCAAACCCAGAGCCTCCATAGGCTAGATAAGTGCTAACCACTGGGCTCCAGCTCCAGACCCACATTTGGTATTTTAAAACTGATCTTCAAAGCCTAGAGGAGTTTGGAAATTGAAAGACAAAATGATTCTTAAAAGTGAGGGTCCTGGGGGAGGGGCTGTGTGAAAGGGGGTCTGGGAGGAGGGGGCCTACAATCGAGATGCAAAGTGAATAAATAAATAATGGGAAAAAAAACCAAAATGATGCTTTCAAATGATTTAGTTTATATCCATTAATAAATGTCTTTTGTATAAACCATGAAATAGAGTTACAAGTGCCTCGCAGTCGTAAACTTTCCCTCAGGAGACAACTGCTTAAGTGACACTTCAAAGGCTTAGAAACAGAGTAAACAACAGGTTCTGGATGATTCCCTGTGGTAAGGACACTGGAAACTTTGTCTTTTAAAGCACTTGCTAGTTGTTACTTTCTACCAATGAAGAGCCTCTTCAATGTTACAAGTAAAACTACTCGCTGTGCATGACTTCTATTTTTATTCCTGGAGAAACATTTGGGAGTGAGAGAGAGTTAAGATGTATTGTAACTATGTTGCAAGTAGCAGAATGCCCAACCTCAAGTTAGACAGGCAAAAAACAAAAAACAAAAACAAAACAAAAACCACCACCACCACCAAAACCAGAAATATGACACTTGGTTGGGACCCAGGCAGGCGACTTGTGTGCTCCTCCTTCTCCTCCATCCTCTTCTTTCCTGAACATTTCTGATGCTGCCTGTCTGCCTTAGTCCCTCCTCCTAGCTCACCATCATCTCCTTCAGCTGCCATGCTTGCCAGCGATTCCTAGTTCTGCCTCCACCATCTATCATGGAGCCAGACCCCAGATCCTCCTTAGGACAACTGCAGTTTCCTTCCTCCACCTGCTATTCCCCCACCTCGCCCACTGAACCTGTCTGGGGTTGCTTGGTGCTGAACCTAGAGCTCCAACCAGAGCTCCAGGTCTGGGACTAGTGACAGTTTGAAGTCTAAAATCCAGAGTGACCCAAGACTGAAAACCAAGCATCACTGGGGTCCACAACCCGTCAGTTTGGGGCAAAAGCAACTGAAGAAACCAACTCAACAAAAGTAAGGCCAGATATTGACACTAAGAAATACCACAAATGTCGTAATTCCAGATGCTCATTTAACAGCACAAAACCAAAAACCAAACCAAACCAAACCAAAACTCCACAATCAAGACATCATGCTTCCTCCAGAGGCCAGCAGCTCTACTGTGATAAACGCTGAGAAAACCAATTTAGCTGAAGCACAAGACAATGGCTTCAAAATAGCAGTTATAAGTATGTTCAGGGACTTTAAAAGGATATGAATAAATCCCTGAATGAAGACTTTGAGTGCACAACCATTGAGTGAAATGAGAAAAATAATTCAGGAATAAAACAGGAAAGTAGAATTTAGCAGAGAAATAGTATCACTAAAGAAAAACCATACTGGCCGGGCAGTGGTGGCGCACGCCTTTAATCCTAGCACTTGGGAGGCAGAGACAGGCGGATTTCTGAGTTCGAGGCCAGCCTGGTCTACAGAGTGAGTTCCAGGACAGCCAGTACTATACAGAGAAACCCTGTCTCGAAAAACCAAAAAGAAAAAAAAAAAAAAAAAAAAAAAAAAAGAAAAACCATACTGAATTGAAACTCAAAATGAAAAACTCAGAGGTAAGCTTCATCTATAGATTAAAAGATGTGGAAAAGAAACTTTCAGGTTTTAGAGATAAAGCAGGAGAAATAGATTAGTCATAAAGAATGTTAAATCATCATCATCATCATCATCCAGGGACAAAACACCCAGGAAATCTGGAACACTATAAAAATTAAAACAACATATAAAAAGCTATGGGACAGCCGGGCAGTGGTGGCACACACCTTTAATCCCAGCACTTGGGAGGCAGAGGCAGGTGGATTTCTGAGTTCGAGGCCAGCCTGGTCTACAGAGTGAGTTCCAGGACAGCCAGGGCTATACAGAGAAACCCTGTCTCGAAAAACAAAACAAAACAAACAAAAAAAAAGTTATGGGACACAATGAAGGCAGCTCTAAGAGACAAGTGTTTAGCACTTAGTGTCTACACCAAAATAAAAAAAAAAAACAAAATCGGAGGCATACATATTAATAACTTAATGACACACCTGGGAGATCTAGAAAAACAAGAAGAATAATACCCCCAAAAAAGTAGACAGGAAGAAGTAAACTCAGGGCTGAAGTCAGTGACAAAAAAAAAAAACAAACAAACTACAAAGAACCAAGGAAGAGGCTTTTGTTTTGTTTGTTTGAGAAAGCAACAAGATTGGCAAACTTTTAGTCAAACTAACAAAAAAAAAAAAAAGAATAGAGAGATTCAAAGAGACAAAGTTAGAGAAGAAAAGGGAGACATTACAACAGATACCAAAAAAGTCATAGAATCATGAATTCTACCACACCTTTAAAGAACTAATACCAATACTAAAATTATTCCACAAAAATATAAACCGAAGAAACAGTTATAAATTCTTTTGATGAAGATATTACCACGATACCAAAATACACAAAGACTTGACAAGAAATTATAGTTTAATATCCCTTGTGAACGGATATAAAAATTCTCAACAAAATATTTGCAAACTAATTTCTAGAACATATAAAAAATCATTTATGATAAACTGGTCTCAAGGCAGAGATGCAGGGAAGGTTCAATATAAATAAATAAATAAATAAATACAATCCACTACATAAAGAGACTGAAAGAGAAAAATCCCCATGATCATCTCATTAGATAGGAGAAAGAAAGAAAAGCCTTAGGCAAAATCTAATACCTCTTCATGATAAAAATCCTAGAAAGACTAGGCATATAAGGGCAAAACAACATGATAAAGAGAACTTACAGCATGCCCATAGCCAATATCATCCTAAATGGAGAGAAACTCAAAGCATTTTGGGCAGGTGGTCTGGTAAGCAGCATTCCTCCACAATCTCTGCTTCAGTTCCTGTCCAGACTTCCCTTAGCGACTGTGATCAAGATGAGTGAACTGAAATAAACCCTTTCCTCCCCTACTTGCTTTTTGATCGTGATCTTTATCACAGCAACAAGAAACCAAACAAACTCCCTCTGTCCCTCCGTCACTCCATCCCCCCTCTCTCTCTCCTGAATATTGGGACGATTTTTCAGGTTCTTAGTGGATTAGATGATGTTTTATTTCTTTAGAGGGAGGTCTCCTTGCGTTACCCAGTTTGGCCTCCATCTGCCATGGTCTCTGCATTGGCCTCCTGCTACTGGGTGGCTTGGGATTTTGTGTTGGAGCTAGCACATTTGGGTATTCTGAAGCAAGATTCTGGGTTCTCTTAAAATCTGAAGTAAATGTGCATGTTTGTGTGAGCAGTGTTAACTGGTTTAGGCTCAGGTTACACACAGTGTCTCATCCTCCATGGGTGTGGTTTCTTTGTAAATTCCTGCTTTGAGACCTGTCAGTTA